TATACAAATTTGTGTCCTCATAAATCACAAAAACGTGCACACACATAAACAGGGTTAGTACACATTTTTACCAATAAATTTCCACGACTTTTCCATGACTTTTGAGACAATTTTCATGAACTAATTTTCCATTATTGTACAATAAGAATAAAAATCGTTTAGAATTTATCATAGCAAATGTTAAATGAAAATAAATGACTATATATTATATATTAGTCATATAGAGTACATGTGTTTCTCTGTTGTCCAGCAGTGGCGCGGTGAACGAGAGCCGGCAGGTTCTGCAGGAGCCAGACTTTGCTCAGTCTCTGCTGCGAGACCCGAACACTCCCATCATCCGGAAGTCCCGCGGGACGTCCACTCAGGGCACGTCCACCCATGCCTCCTCCACACACCTGGCCATGCTGGACGACGTGCGGAGCAAAGCCAGCAGCATCCACAGCAAGATGAGCAGCTATCATGGCAGCCTGCATCGCTCCAGAGACGGCAGGTCAGTTCAGCAGCAGCTCAACAAACACTTTCATGCAACACACATCCAAATATGATTCACTTATGCCTATGCATAACGTATATTCACGTAAAGACATCTACACTATAGCAAATATGCTTGATTGTAATATTGTTGCAAAATGCAACTAACTATATTATTTCCAAGCTCTTTATGTAAAATATATAAGTATGTCCAGTTTTATCCACAAACATGAAGTATACTCATAGAGGGCAATATGTAAGAAAAACTACAGTATATTGCAAATACTGAGCTAATTGATTGCTTGCATCGTCACAAAATCTAAACTGTTATTATCGCCCAGTTCTAATATTTATGTGTGTGTGCGTGTGTATAAGAATAAAAGCAATCAAGTAGCTCAGTTTTGCTGTATACTGTAGTTTTTGTTACATATTGATTACATATATGAAGATATGAAAATATTATTTAAAATATTTAACATGTTTTATATATTAAATGATAAATAATTATATAATTATTTTATATATATGTCTTAGTGTATATTAAATTTTATTATATTATTAAATTATGAAAAAATTTATATTTCCACTCATTAAGTAAAACAAAAACGTGCTGCTGTATATAAAAATACTTTGTAAGTATTAAATTTTTCTTAATTTTATAATAAGAAATGTATATATGTGTATACGTGTGTGTGTACACAAACACACAATTGCATATTATTAAATTATGTAAATTAAATTATGTAACTATAAATTTATATTTAACACATTTCCTCTTCTCATTAAGTATTTTTTAATTTCAGAATTCTGCAATATTACATTTATATTAAAATAAATATATATTAAATAATTATGTATATATATATATATATATATAATTTTCTCACTCCCTTTCAGCCCCTGACCCCAACTTTATAACTTCTGTTCTAATGCAAACGTGTCAGTTGAGCTTCCTCAGAGATGGTCATATAGCTGTGCTTGTTTAGACACATAGAGCTGCATGTTTAAAGAAGCCTGAACTCAAATAACCCATCGGTTTTCCCTCTGAACGCAGGTTCACCCCCTCCAGCCACAGAGGCATGGAGGAACGCCCGGCATATGGGAGCGTGCCGCAACTCAACGAGCAGCTGTCCCATCACAGCAGCCTTCACCGCCTCGACAGCCAGCCCAGACATGGCAGCGCCCGAGACCTGAGCGACGCACCAGCCGCCAGCATCACGCACGGATCCAGTGTGAACCGCCTGGCGGAGGAGGACGGGACGAGTGCGTAACCCAGAGACTGACCTGGGAGAGTCCCTGTCATGTAGCCACTAATGGACAGACATGTGTTTTTGGCAGCAGCAGGGGAATCAGAAACTCGAGA